CTCTCTCTCTCTCTCTCTCTCTCTCTCTCTCTCTCTCTCTCTCTCTCACACTCTCACACACACACACACACACACACACACACACACAGTTGGAGCTTGAGTTGGAGGTGAAACCTTGTATTTATCTGCTAAACCAATTTGCCCCACGCTTGGATACAATTTGAAAAGTTAACCATGGATCCCTGGAGGCATTTAATGGCAAACTGAGAATATGGTGCAAGTAAAGAGACAGGAATGTGATGCAAATACTGACGACTGAACATGAGGGGAATATCTCGAGGGACCTTTTAGGTTTAACATGTAGATCATGATGTACTTGTGGTTCTGTGCATGTTTCTGGTGAGTGAGGGTATTTCGTTCTTTACCCCTTTGGTCTAGTGCTGGAACAATAGGTGAATTAAGCTGTTAGTTGATGAACAGAAAATTAGATGCGATCTATTTTGATAATCGACTAATTGTTTAAAATCATTTTTCAAGCCCAAATACCGAACATTCCCTAGTATCTCCTCCTTGCGTTTCATAGTAAACTCTTTGGGTTTCAGACAGTTGGTCAGTTAAAACAAAAGATTTGACGACGTCGCCTTGGACTTATTAGGATTTGTGTCATTTTAAAAAGTGAAAAATGTACTGATTATTCAGAAAGAAAAGATCTGTAGATGAACTGACAATGAAAGTAATCAATAGCTGCAGCCCTGTTTTGAATGTACGTTAGATAATTATTTTAGGAATTCATTCAGTCGGACAAACAGTTCAAATTAAATGACAAAAAAGCAGCAAATCCTCACATTTGATAAGCCTGAACCAGCAAATGTTTGATACTTCTGCCTGATACTGTACATAACCTCAATGATTAATAAGTTATCAAAACGATCTTCTGATGATGGCCTCATCCTTTCCCTCCTCTCCTGTTCTTCTGTCTCGCTCACAAACCTTCATCCACCCAAACATGTATGTAAAACGTATATATACTGTAAATACATCGTGACTGTGGGCGGGCCCGCCATCTCCACCTGAACTTTGACTTCTTTTCTTGGAAGAAAGCACAGGAGAGCCTCAGATCGCCTCATTACAAAAGCAATGAGAGCGAAAGCAGCACACGCCTGTGCTCTCCCAGTGAGGACTGAGCACCAGAGTATACGGCTCTTACTCTCTTCTTCCCCGACTACAAAGACAGCCACCGCAGGGCGGCAGGGGACCAACACACAGGGGACGGGTGGAAAGCACAGTCCATTTATAATTAACAAAGAGCACTAAATGAAATAGCGGGGGGGAAATTCAACGCATATCAGTTTTATATACATATAAACATGCTGCTTGCTCTCACAGAAACATGTTCCTTCCTCTCTCTCTCTGTCACACACTCACTCTGTCTCTCAAACGTAAGGACACAGACACATGCATTATTTCTCCTTCCTCCTCCGACAGCATGCATCATCTTCTTCGCTTCCGGCATGAGCTTGGGCATTCGGATGCACACGTGCACACGCTCACACATGCACACGCAGCGGCTAACTAGGCCGAGCGAATATCTTTTCTGCCCCCTGGGGACACACTCAGCAGTGGTACAGTGTGCCCAGTGATGGACACAGGGAGAGAGAGAGAGAGAGAGAGAGAGAGAGAGAGAGAAATGGAGGAAAGGTCCTTAGAAGTGAGTGGGGGGCTTCTACACAAACACTGTGGAGCTGTAGGTGTGTGCATTAACCTTGTGTCATGCATGCAAGCGGGCATGTGTGTTTGTACAGGGATGGAAGCATGCATGCATGTGCTTATTTTATCTTTCGGTGTATGCGCACGTTAGTGTGTGCGTGCGTGCGTGCGTGAGTGTGTGTGTGTGTGTGTGCGTGCGTGCGTGTGTGTCTGTGCGTGTGTGTGTATGTGTGTGTAGCTCAGCTTGTGGTGGCCTTTATTTAACTACAGAGATTAATCTAGAAGTGCTTCAGTCAGGGGCGTAAATATAGACTGCCTGGGGCCCATGGGGTGGGGGGGCCCGCGGGGAGAGCAGGCCAACATACTACCATACTATTCAGTACGCCAGAAAATATTTAGAATGTCCCAATACATCACATCGCATACATCACATTTTGCAGTTTGCTCACCCACAGTCCTCTGAGCAGATATATGAGCAAGAGTGAGGCTGTATTCAAAACCGTCGACTATGTCGGAGGCAGTATGCAGTATATGTAACTTATGTGTTGATTCATTCTGCAGGATGCTTGGCCTGGTCTGGTTAAACAAGCTCTTAATGCACTGGACAGAAAAAGACTCATTCCACTATTGCAATATCATCAAAAAATACAACTTGTTGAGCTTTGAATTTATTTATTTAGTGTGTGACCAATACTTTACAAGATACGCATGGTTTAGCTCCCCCACCCCTGAAACAAGTTATTCCAACAGCTCATGGTGAAGAGAGACATGAAGAGACATCAGAGACTGTAAGCATAATATATTGTCCTGTTCAGTTACAGCAACACGTCAGTGGAATGAATCCCCAACAAACGTATTTGTTTTAGTCACTTTCAGAACGAATGTTACAAAGGGTCATGTGCTCTCAGTCAGTTCATGTCATGATGGACATTTGTGTATTTAAACCATCCAGCCAACAGCAGGGACAGAAGAGCCTCTTGAGGCTGGTCTGTGGAGGGATTACAGCCGGGTTCAGATTCATACCAAGCTGATGCATACCACAAATAACAACTCACGTCAACATGAAATCTGGACCGGTTGCTTTAAATGCAACCGGTCCAACAATAATTTGTTAAGGTAAAATAGTCATTATTATTCTATAACAAAATCATATATGTTTATTGTAAATAAACTATATATAAATACTATAAACAACTTTGATATTAAATACACCTGACAACCATTCACATCCTGTTTGTTTTCCTACACAAACAAGATTCTGACTTTTAGAAGCACTTATGGGCGGAGCTACAGTAAAACACTCACACACACATACAGTCACAGGCCCACGCCTACTGTACACATGTATTCATGGTGAACAGGTAAATCATTTCTGATGATTCATTTCACCTTTCTGACAATACTATCAACAGGGCGTCGGACCTCCTGCTCTGCTGCATGAATGCTATCACCACGGGAACTGGGCGACTTGCAGGAGATCAAACATGACTAAACCTACGAAACTAACAAACAGGGGCAGCTGCATGACACACACACACACACACACACACACACACACACATGCAAGAGCTAAAGGAAATGTCCCCATCTCTCTCTGTCCCTGTTCCTCTCACATACACACTGAATATGAGATATGCTATCACAAAGGCTGTATCCTGTTCTTTCACTGCCTTTACAATTCAATATGGAGATCTGCCTCGGCCGGGGGCAGCGAAGAAACACGACCAACACACACCATCCTCTCTATTACCCTCTTGTATTTTAGCTGATTCGCAGCACAGTGCAGGATAATGAAAGCATTCACTAAATGCTGACAAAGAAGAGTACAACAGTTTGGATGTGTGTTTAAAGATAAGCTGCCAACAGGCTGATTGAGGGCAAACATGAGCTGGTCTGGATCGAGTCCTCAGAGAAACACAAAGGGAGGGGAACCAGAGGAGAGACGGAGACGGGGACAGTGTCTCGTTGGACACTCGTTCATCAGTCTACGCCTCCCTCCTGTGCTCCGTAACCCCCCCAACGCACGTGCTCTTTGCGATGGGCGAGTGTGTGTGTGTGTGTGTGTGTGTGTTTCTGATACCAGACACCTGGACCAGTGGCAGCCATTAGAACCAGACAGCAGGTACACAAGGTCACGCAGACAGGCTGAGGAGCCTGATGCAGATACCAAGGATGAATACGGGGGGGGCAAACAAAAGGTAGCCCCATCATCTCATGATTGTAAATGCATTTGACCCCCACCTTGCTTTAAGGCCCCCCCCCCCCCACCATAAATACCCCTGTTTAAGAGAGCTGAGCCCTTCATCACATGAGGCCTGAGACGCTGTTACATCAGAATGTAAACTATGGTGATGTAATGTACAGACATTCATTTACTGCGAGTCATCTTCACTGAGTTGGCTGTTCCTTAAATACAGTTAACCTCTTCATGGCCGCTGTTCATCCTGTGGGACACCAGCAGTATGTAGAACTAGAAAAGTGAGTTAAATATGAAAATGTAATGCAGATATTGATAGAATAACTCTTCTCTTTAGCTCACTGTGGTCATAAATAATGCATGGCGTACAAACTCACTTACAAAACACAATGTCTCACTGTCAGAGCGGTCAGTCCAGCAGAGCATCAACTCTTTGTCTAAACTCATCACAATCAAAAGTGGTCATTTTCCTGGAGAGAAATATCTGCTGTGA